TTTTCTTGATATACTTGCACACCGGAGGGGCCTAAGGGGGGCCGAGAATGGCGGGGTGATTGTACACCCCGGTCCTTTGGTAGGCCTGTGCTCGGTTGGCGTTTTTTTTGCGATTTACTGGTAGATGCACGAACTTTTTTCTTACCGCTCTATTTTCAGTATAATATCCCAAATTTGACAAGAAGAATACAAGGCGATCGCCTACCGTACACAAGCCTGTATCCCTTGGAAACGGGTGTAAGCGTGGACTTTTTGCCCGCTGACGGTACGCGGTTGGCGAACACAACTAACCTGGCCTCCAGCAAAGACTCGTGCGTGACAACCCGCCGAGCTCTTATATCCGGCCTGGTTGCCACGAAGGTTACATGGCAATTAGTTTCCCCGAAAGTCAAACGCCTAACGGCTGCATTTTGTTCAGTTACGTGCTGCCATGAAACGCAGCATGCTCTTCGCCGAAATATCAAGTCCAAGCTTCTTCCTCATCTCGCGTCCCGCTATAACCGGGTGCCGCTTGTGGCAAGCTAACGACAATTTTGTGCTTTCGTCCATCCCACCTCTTGCCTTGTTCAGCAGGGTTCTTGCTCCACCTTTCCCTCCTGGGGTACATGCGTTGTTTTAAAGGCGTGAAATTTCCGCCCGTCCCTGTTCCTCGTCGACCATGGGGTCGCATGCTACGGAATTTCCCGTGTTCCCCCTGCAAACTGCAAAATTTTCGATGACAAACGAAATTTTCACGAATGCCTCCAAAGTGCTTTTTTTTTGTTCGGGCAATCAGGTGTTGTTACAATTTGCACACAACGGTTCCTCTACCACTGGCTACCGTTTATCAGCCCGTTGACTCCGGAGGTGTTTATTTGTGTTTGGATTTGGTTTCTTTCTATCATACGTATCGTGGTGCTTGCTGATGTTGTCATTTCTTCCGGTCTTCGCCGTTTTGTTTTTTTTTTTGCAACTGACAGGTGGACAAGCTCAACACGATGGAGTCCGTGGTGAACATCAAACGCCTTCAGGAGGCGTTCGAACTCCCCCCAGGCCTTCCCGTCTCCTTCTCGGCGATTACAGGACAGGGCAAGAAGGAGATCTGGTCGTACATCCGACAGGCGGCAGCAGCGCAACCTTAGAAGATGATGTGATTCGAAGGATTGATAACAATACCAGTAGATAGTTTGAGTTGCGAAATCGTTGGCTAGCCTTGCGTGAGGGCTTGAGCGCGTGCGTGTTCATCTCCGTGCGTATTTAATAGGGGAGTTCGCCGCCCAGTTCGTGGTGAATGTGGAGCCATCGTGAGCCAGGTTGTGGTGTACCTCTTTGGAAAATAATACACCTCTCTCACTACACCCCCCGTAAATTTCTTGATACACAACACTAATACAAACAAAAGCATCGATCGACGTGCGGCGTACGTACTACAGATGATACGTATGCATGCGTAGTATATCTTGTTAGCATCGACCGGGCTAACCGGCCGACGTGACCAATGAAAAGACAGCAGCAGTCAGTGCCGTTGAAAACACAAAATATTCAATATGCATAATATACCGGTCGCCCCGGTGGTCTAGTTGGCATCCTCGAAACCTTCTATATCTAGAGGTCAGGTCAGGGATTCAAATCCCGGCGTAAGCGAGCTTTTCTTGCTGAGTGAGTTTTTCTCTCGCTTCCGCTCCTGGCCTAGTGGATTGTAGCGCTAGTTCGTGTGTATACAGAGGGAAGAGAGTGCTGCACTCTTCTCGCATTAAAAATCGAAGGCAAAGTACCGCAGGAGGGGAGGGTGGAGAGGGGCTCCTCTGTGTGAGACCACGGATTGGAGTAAAACGGCACTACTATTATAATTGAGTGCTGTAAGCGCTGATTTGAAGTGAAGACAAAAAATACATACTTACATTGTATATATATGTATACATGCAGAGACTACTGTACGCACCATGAGTAATGTGTGCATCTACCTGTGCATGTACGTACTACACCTCGAGTCGGCGAGAAAAACTCGGTTTCGTTGAGGTGGTGCGTCCGCCCGACGCCCGACCCTTTCGTTCGCCTTATTGTGCGGACCCATCTCGGCCTGCTTCATGGTGTGAGAAGAGGGTATGAGATGTCTACTCTCGTGCTCGTTATTTGTACAGCAGTAGATAGTAGTACGGGCAGTAGAAGATACTGAGCGGAGACCGGAAGACAACAACAACAAGCCGTGGACCCGCTCGCTGCTGTCGCTGGCGATGCTCTGTGGGATTCGTAGTCATGCCTGAATCATGGCGGTTGGAACTGCCACTTGTGCTTCTCGTGCAACGGATAGAATGCCAACTCAAAACCTCGCGCGGTAATCTACCTGTGGGCTTTGTTTCACACCGCGTAATCAGCCCTGTAGGTACGCTGACTACAGCAGTACTGCTGTTGTACCCCTACCGCTTTCTTGACATGGACGGTACGACGGCAGGTGTACATTACTGCGGAACTACGGAACGGGCCCGCAGTATTTTAGAAAGTAAGTGCTGCTACTGCTAAACGCTAATACCCCACAAGCGCTTCTTCTCAGTATCTTTTGGGCGTAGCGTCTCCAATCGTTTATGGTACTCGTCGCCCATACCAGCATTCAGCATTGGTGTCCTCTCCTCTTTCCTCTGGCCGTCGTCGTCGAAGTTGAAAAACGATCATCTTGGCCCGCGATTTTCCGTTTCATTTTTGCCGTCGTTGTCGAAGAGTCGCAAAGTCGAGTCGAAAACGATCATTGGTCCGTGATTTTCGGTTTCGTTTTTTTATTTTTGACAAAAAAAAAACGTTTCTCTGGTGCGGCCCCTACCTCCTACATCGGACGCTCTTTCCGGGACCCCGCCGACGATCACAAAACGCGCAGCAGGCTCTAGCACTACAGACTAGTTTACGTAACGATCCTCCGGCTTCGCACACATCCCCGCAACACCACAGCAGCGCCGGTGGCGTACTCTCCGCGCTGGCTTGTTATTACCTCGCCGACTGCTGCTGCTGTGTGGCGGTGTGAAGAAAAAGCTACAGAGCGATCTCGTTCGATTATTACGCGGGAAGTGGGCAGGGACGACAACACACCAGCAGACGGCGATGGTTCGCGTCGTGGACCAGATGTCGGCAAGCTGCATGGCCGGGTGCTCCTACTCCAGCTCGGGAGACAGGGTCTACACCCTGAAGTTCGTGCTGGTTGGGAGCCGGGGGGTCGGGAAGACGCGTCTCGCGTCCCTTTTCCACAGGAAGAAGAGCGGATGCCCGTCTGCTGCTGTTGGGATGCAGTTTGGAACTCGGACGCTGCGATACTCGGACAGCTTGAGCGTTCGCGCACAGGTATGCATATATATTTTGTGACGCCTCTTTTCATGTAAGTTTCTTTTCCTTTCGCCTGCCCTCTTGCAGTGGAATTGTACGCATACGGGCGACGGTTTGTCCCGAGAGCACGGCAGCGAGTCACTGGCTTCCACTGTTTAGAGTTTGTCCCCCCCCACTTTTATTCCTTGGTGTGTGATGCCAAGGTTGGTACCGCCGTGGCTTGTGTGGTTTTTTTTTGCGGGCGTCTTTTGTTCAGGACGAAGGTTTTGAAATGCAACCGACATACATGACCTGATGAGAGAAGGAATCGGCGAGCTAATTGTGGTCACGCACTAGGTGTGCTTGGCAACACGTCCCTCCCGTCCGGCCGCTCTCTCAAAGATCCGCAACCCGGGGTATATAGGGGGGCATATGCCGGACGCATGAATGGCAGCTACAAGTCGGTCTCTCTTTGTCCACTAAATGATCAAACGGCCGTTTGTTGGTGGAAATTGGTCCGTGATACATACCACTTCGCTGTCGGTCCTCCAAAGTGGTACAGATGTACACCCGCCTGTTTGTGTACGGAGAGACACCGATACACACACGTCTCTCTGCCTGCCCACGCGCACGAGATATAGTATCCTGCCGCTATGCGTGCGTCCCCGAAGCTGAAGAGCAACCAGCCCTCAAGCACCCGCCCTGCACACACACGCGCACAGCCCAATGTTGACCATCGTTCTGAAAAGTGAGCGCATCGAACCCTCGCATGATGTTTCGCCGTGGCTGTGGGGCGCGCGCTGCCTATTTTTTTCCGATTTTTTTTTCAAATTCGGAGATGATGATTAGGACCACCGTGATGATGGCAGTAGCGGCGCAGCAGCAGCAAAAGAAGAAGAAGCGTCTGCCCTCCCCTCCCCAAAAGGCTCACCTCTGGGTCCGCGGCTGCCGTGTGCTCCGCATTTCCATGCCGAACATGTAGCCTGTGTTTTCCTTCGTTCGGCGCCAGAGGGCGGGTTTGGGTGGAGCCAGCTGATGGATGATGCTCCATGTACCCACAGATCACAGGGATGGATCTATTCCTACATCTTCTGAAAGATACAGCAGGTATCTAGATACCGCCGTCTGCAACTTTCCCTGGGGACAGCTTTTGGTAGGCAGCCAGCGGACTCCTCGTACGGCCACCTGCCCGCGGGCGGCCCTTCTGCGCGCACAAAGCGACAGGCAACAACAGAAAAGAAAACACCGAAGATGCATGTTGCATTTGTAGATACTGTACCTACATGTACCTGCCCAGCCTTTTAGACCACGCGCTCTCTGGGCTGCTGTGAAAAAGAAAACTCTTGAGCTGATCTAAATCATGCAGGCGGCTGTGCTGCATTGTTGAAGACCTGTTCGTATGTAGGAAGTATGTAGCTGGGTGGAGGGATGGTGCCGTGGCGGGTTGGTGTTTGATCTCGTGTTCTTCTTTTTTCTTTTTTCCGGTACAGAGCGTGCAGTGCAAGCACGAAGATTTTTTGGATACATCCTTGAAGTCCGCAAGGAGCAGGCGAAGGATAGGAACGCATGCACGGAAGATGCTAACTCTTTAACCGTACACAGCGTGCAATCGGTCGCGATTCCATCCTGGACCTTGTTCTACTTGAAGTGCATATTCCACGAACTACTCTAAAGAATTTTGATTCAATTCGTATGCTTCATGGTGGTCCTGCTACCGCTTATAGATATGCATTGCAAGCCCTACAAACACAAACAATGTGCAACATACTTCGTTGCGAAGAAAAAAATGCTCCGTTCGTTCTCGGTTGGAACAATGGATGCACACATTCCGTGCTGTTGCTTGAAACCCGGAAGCCTTTACAGCCGCACCACGGATGAAAATTAAAATTTGTACCATTTTACAATACATCCCCTAGTTCTCTACTGGGTCAACGACAAAATATGTACAAAAACATCTGTATAGTCTAGGTAACTTACCTTCGCTACAAAAACATGGCTGAAAACTGCTGTTCCCAAGCTCTAGCTTGGTTCCCAAGCTCTAGCTTGGGTCTCAGTCGATCAAAAGTCTTTTTTTTCCGTCTGTGGAGTTTTCAGTAGCATAGCGGACCCCTTGCCCGACCGGGTCGAAAAGGCCGATCTCAGCCCACACTGCGAACCTCCGAGAACTACCAGCAGTTCTGGGTAGCTGAGACGATTTCAAGACCTCTCACAGTCGTTTGAGCAGCTATCGCTTGCTGTGGGGCGATAACCAGTTTCTCCGTCGACAAGAAGATCTGCGTTTCATCGTCACATCGGAACGACCAGATTGGTTGACTTGTCGTTGAGGGTCCTCTTTTTATAGATCTTTTTGTGTAAGAGTCGTCTTCATTTTTTTCGCCGCCCGCGCCAAGCCTTCTTTTTTACAGATCTTTTTATATAGAGTCGTCTTCTTTTTTTCGCCGCCCGCGCCAAGCCTTCTTTTTTACAGATCTTTTTATATAGAGTCGTCTTCTTTTTTTTGCCGCCCGCGCCAAGCCTTGCTTGCTTCTCTCGTGTCCCGCGCCAAGCCTTGCTTGCTGGCCACGCTTCTCTCGAGATGCTGACCGACCTCAGCACACAGCTGGACATTCTGTGTACATACAGCAGGAGCTGCTTTTGTTCTGTTGTTGCAGCTTTCTGCATGGCTCTTTTGTGGTGCGAAAATTAGCATTTATTGTTGTTGTTGATGTGCGGACGAGAGGACGAGAGTGGTAGGCAAAAGCAGTACGTACCTGCAAATCTCCGGCAACTACCAGCAGTTCTGGGTAGCTGAGACGATTTCAAGACCTCTCACAGTCGTTTGAGCAGCTATCGCTCGCTGTGGGGCGATAACCAGTGATTTTGTGATTTTCTTCCTTAGTCTATAGTGACCGTTGTGCACATGCGGTGGCTGCTGTTATGCTCGGAAGATGCTGCAAAGGTCATCATAAGGTTATCGTCTCTGTCGCTTGGGCTGCACGCCGTGCTCGCGTAGGAGATGCGCATTCCTCATTTTTTCTCTGTGCCGATATCCATGAAGAAAAGCAACGGCAGCACGGTTGAAGATACAGACAACAGACGGTCCGCCATAGTTTTTTTTTTCTTCCTTTACATGCATGGATGGGTGGTAAAGCATCGCAAGCGTGTTGCTGCCTTACCTTTAGTGTGCTGCGTAGTCGTAATTTGAGCGATAAGGGGTAGATGGCAGGACAATCTTATTTGCGTAGTGAGGTTTGACAACTGGTCGTTCGTGGAACGGTGCGCGTCTATCGCGACGGCAAGCGTATTGAGAAAATAGTTCGTCCGTGGTGCTTCTCGTCATCATTTTCTATTTCGTTGTCACTTCATACTTCATACCACAAGTGATGAAAGAGAGTCGCCACAGTTAGTTCGGAAACGGCGACTATATTTGGTTTGTTGCGTTTGTTGTTGCTGAGCGCACATCGGATGTCGCCGTTCGTTACAGCCTGCGGTGGGCCACAGGGACGAGAGTGAGTGTCTTCGGTTAGGGTTAGGGTTAGGGTCTCGAGAGTTAATTAATGCCTTCTCTGCGCTTTCTTTCTTCTGTTGGTCTACGTAGTAGTAGTGGTAGCACCTGTCTCTCTCTCGCCTATTATCGCCGTTGGGGTCCCAAGAACATCGAACGTCAACCGCAATCGTTTTGCTTCTTGCTGAGTAAGAGGCTATTTGTGTAGTACGTACCCGGCTGCTGTATGTGAGGCGATGGGCGCTGCCTCTTTACTTGAAGCAACGGGGGCATGGCCCCTATACTGTCTGCTGCATGCTGTGGTATGTGACAGCTTCCAGCGGTTCAGAGCGGCGACGGTGGTTTTCGTATGCTCTCTTTTGCCACCTCCCTGAAGCCTGTCGCGTCTGGCTCACTTGTCTTTGTCGTCCCTTCTTTTTTTTCTTTTTTTTAACATAGTCTATATTTTATTTTTCAGCTTGCTTTTTGGGGTCCGCCGGTCATCCGCCCACCACCCATTAGTTCAGTTTTAAATGTTGTTGTTGTTGTTGTTGTTGTCTTCGCATTAAAAACCGTTCCGATCTCTCTCTACCCAGTACCTTCATATGTCCGTACTGATCCAACACTTGACGCGGTCGATTCCCGTGGTCACAGGCTAACTTACCCTAAAGAGGTACGCTAAAACAAACTGGCCCCGAAAGGTCCGCAAGTCAATAAAAATCAACGACAGATATTCTTTGGAACGGGGTGTTTACTTGCCATGTCTATGACTCTGCAAGTTTCACAATTAATTTTGAAGCTTTTCTGAAGCTAATTGAAACAGTAGTGTCATCGTTCGATATCCGTTCGGTGAGGAATCAATCGCAAATCATGACCCGTCCCCGAGTTTGAGCAGCTTCCGCCTCCTGGGGCCGGCAAGAGTCGGCCTTCACTGCTGTACCTTGTCTGTTTCGCCATGGGAATGGCCGGTTGAACAGCGAAAGAGGGTCCTGCGTGCTGCGCGCCACCACCTTTTTTTTTTTGCGTTTGTTATTATTGTGATTTTCTTCCTGAGTGACTGTTGTACACAACATGCGGCTGCTGCTGTACACATACTTACTTGCGGTTGCTGCAGTATATGCTCGGAATGTGCTGCAAAGGTCGTAAGGTTATCGTCTCTGTTGCTTTGGGCTGCACGCGTTGCTCGCGTAGGCGATGCGCGTCTCCTACTTTTTTCCAGTGTCGTTGTCGGCAGCACAGTTAGTTCAAGAGACAAACAACAACAACAGACGGTCCGCCTTTTTTTGTTTTGCTGCATGCATGGGTGGTATGCATCGGCACGCGTGTTGCTTCCTTGCCTTGAGTCTGCTGCGTAGTCGTAATTTGAGCGATAAGTAAGGTAGATGGCAGCACAATCTTAGATACTACGTAGTGAGGTATGATAACCAACAGCTCGTTCGTGCAGCGGTGCGCATCTATGGCGGACGGCAAGCGTATTGCGATAATAGGTCGTCCGTGGTGCTATGTAGTCGTGCTCTTTTTAGTTCTCACTTCCTACAACAAGATAGTCCACAGCTCGCACACGGCGACTGACTATATTTGTTTGTTGTTGTGCTTGTTTGCTGTTGCTGAGCCGACATCGGATATCTATCGCCGTTCGATACACAACGTGACATCATGTGTGACAGCCTGCGGTGGGCCAGAGGGACGAGAGTGAGTGTCTTCTCGAGAGAGTCAATGCCTTCTCTTCTCGAGAGAGCCAATGCCTTGTCTTCTCTCCGCTCTCTTCTTTTTGTCTACCTCTCTTTCTCTCTCTCTCGCCTTTCGCCGGTAGGGTCCCAACAACATCGAACGTCAACCAACCGCAGTCGTTTCGCTCTTTGCTGAGTAAGAAGAGGCTACCCGTGCATCCGGCTGCTGCATGTGAAGCGATGGGCGTTATGCCAAGCAATGGACTTGGGCCCTACCTAATATTTGCTCCATATGTAGTGCTATGTGAGAGTTTCCAGCGGTCCGGAGCGAGCGGCGACGGTGCTTTTCTTCTATGCGCTCTTTTGCCTCCTCCCTGAAGCCTGTCGCGTCTGGCTCGTTTGTTCTCGCTTCTTTCTTTCTTTTGTTTTTCATGCTTTGTGTTTTGGGGTCCCCCGGTTCCTGTGTGCTCATCGGGCGTCTTCTTGGTGTCTACCTTGATTGTTACCCGCTGCAAAAATCGAAAGCTTCAGACAGGCAACGCGACGATACTCGTCGAGATGCCATACACAATGAATTCATTGCTAATCTCTCTCAGTCTCTTTTCTATGATGGAGATGGATTCGTTGTGTCATATTAAGAAGAAAAAAAAAAAAAGCATCCTGTCGTTACTCTATCGATACCTCACACCCACCCCTACTCACGCCGACGCAGACACAGACAGGCAGACTCAGCTCCTTCGCCTGTGCTGTATCTGTTGTTCGTGCGTGCTGAAGAATGGTACATACAGCAGCAGCTTACAGCAGCAGGAGCTGCTTTTTGCTTGTTTGTACAGCTTTTCCTGCAGGGATGGCTTTTGGTGTGCGGCAAGTTGCATTGTTTGTTGTTGATGCGGACGAGAGGACGAGAGTGGTAGGCAAAAGCAGTACATACCGTGTTAAAGGGACAGACAGAGTGCCTACCGTGTGTACAAGGGACGAGTGTGTATGTAGACGTTGCATTTCGTGTCTCCCGAGGATCGGACGTATGTGTTGTTTTTTTATTGCGTACCCGCGTCCATCACGACCATTATTGCGTAGTGTGTCGGCTAAATAGGTCC